AACTTTCCTGTGCTCTTCACTGTTGCTTTGTGAAACAGGCGTCGTGTGCTCGGGCCCAGTTGTCTTCTAACAATTCACATCCGGCCCCCTCTCTGGCGCCAGGTCACGGAGGTCTTCAGCCAGACGCGGAATGGGGAGCACGTGCGGATCACGATTACCCTGACCAACGAGCTGCCGCCCACGTCACCGACGTGCCTGCAGTTCTACAACATCATTTTCCGGAGGTGCGTTAGCGTCCGTTAACGTCGTATTAAAACTGAACGTCCAGAGAAGGTGCAATAACTGCACGGTGATGCCTGTGTGGTCGATGTCACAGTGGGGCCTCAGGGTCATCGTAGGGCACCGCGTGCCGTGGAACGCCCCGCCTCCGAGCAAACCTTTACGCCAGTGACTTCCCCGCCCGTGTCGACATTTGACTTTTATGCTGCTCCTCGAGCTTGCGTTACGAGCCCTCCCGCTCTCAGAAGCTTCTCCCTGACTTTGTGTTCCTTCTCCCCGCAGCGGGCGTCTGGCAGGGGAGCAGGGTGCGGTTCGGTCTGTGTGGATTTACTCGTTGCATCATTAAGGACAAACTGCGTGCTCTGTAATTAGCTTCCCATGTGGATGCTGTTTCCCAAATCTAAAATCAGGTCCCGTGTGCTGCAACACTTTCCCCCCTGGATGAGAAGCAGTCTGGGTGAGGCTGACGTTTGCCTGAGAATAATGAGACATGATACTGGAATCTATATCTTTGAGTTGGTCATAAGATATTGGTTACTGATGTGAGGACGTTCACGTTGGTGGGTGCTTGTTTTCAGTTAATGCCACTGCAGACTTACTTTCTAAATGAGGGGATGGCAGACTTTCTGCTGGGGTCAGGCAGTAAACGTTTCAGGCCTGCAGGCCGCATGATCTCTGTCCTAGCCGCAGAGCACATGTGAAGGAGAGACCACGGCTTTGTTCCTGTAAACTCCACTGAAGGCACTGACATCGGAATCTCATGTAGTTCATGCATCGTTAATCTTTTGAAGTTTTCTAACCTTTGAACAATGTAAGAAGCCATTCTTAGCCCCTCGGCCACACAAAAAACAGCGGGCGGCCGGGTCTGGTCCAGCTGGGTCATGGTTTGCCAGCCCCTGTGCCAAACAACTCGCCATTACAATCGTGGCAGGAGGGGTGGCCACCAGTAGTCACTTCACTCTTCCTTTCAATCTCTAGGCTCTTGAAGATCATGAATTTGCAACAGATTGGACGGAATTATTATAATCCAAGTGACCCGATCGACATTCCAAATCACAGGTTCGTACGAAGGGGAAGTTTGTTCCTTTGGTTTATCACCAGCTTTGAGAGTGACACTTGAATTTGAAATGATCAGGTTAGTGCTGTGGCTGTTAGTGGTCCCCATCACACCAGTGAACTTGTAACTCGGCTTGACCAGTAAGGAGATGTCACAGTACTTGGGTTCTTGAAAGTCACAGGGTGTTTATTCATCCATCACTACGGAAGCATCAAGAGTTGCCTAACACTAAGTCTGCATTTGCTCTGAGGTAATAAAACTCTTCAGCTAATGATGATTGCTTTAGAAGTTGCTATAGTATAGTCAGTAGAGTGCAGCCCAAGTGGTTTAAGTTTATTATAATAATTTGGGATGATTTCGGTTAGACTGGCAGGTTTTTCAAGTCGTACTCCAGGATACAGAGTACATGAATGAAGTTAGAATTTTAATTTAAAATTGAACTTATAAAAGGATATTTGTTATTGAAAATCTTGGATAGGTTTTTATCTGGAACCGTGTGAAACCTAGTAATAAGTAAATTTATTCAGTCAGAACTTTTGTACTTTGGACCCAATTGATAAAGGTGAAAACACAACTTGGTACATGCCAGATATGTCCACGTACGCCTCGAGGTCGCCTCACGGCCCCGTTCTGTTCGACAGGTTGGTGATTTGGCCTGGCTTCACCACCTCCATCCTTCAGTACGAGAATAACATCATGCTGTGTACCGACGTCAGCCACAAAGTCCTTCGAAGTGAGACTGTTTTAGATTTCATGTTCAACTTGTACCATCAGACTGAAGAACATAAATTTCAAGAACAAGTTTCTAAAGAATTAATAGGTTTAATTGTACTGACCAAGTAAGACTGCCTTTCGCATTGCAGAGTTACCGTTGGCAGGCCTTAGGGGGCGGTGTGGCTTTCCAGTTGTGTCACATTAGGAAGTTGGGTTGAAACCGAGAGGTGAGAATAGCTGAAAACAGGAAGGATATTTGTAACCTTTCTCAAGAAGAGAGTTTTTTGAGGAACGTACGCATCTGAAAAGGACAAATATCTAATGACTTTTATCCTTTTGTTTTCTTTGCTGATAGTAGTTCAGTCACTTCCGCATCCATCTAGCATAGCCTCTTAAGAAGTTGTTTTCCCTTTCTTTCCATAGCATTGTGTACCACTAAGTGACTCAAAATTGTGTTTTTAGAGAGTACATGCTGTCTAGTCTTTCTTTTTAACATCTCTATAAATCTTAAATGCCAGTAAATGTGATCATCCCGCAGGTATAACAATAAAACATACAGAGTAGACGACATCGACTGGGACCAGAACCCAAAGAGCACCTTTAAGAAAGCGGACGGCTCTGAGGTCAGCTTCCTGGAGTACTACAGGAAGGTACGGAGTTAATGCTGATCTTGTCCTCCTGGCTGGTGGTGTTTAGAGCCTCAGAGAAATCTGAAACATCTTTAGTAGAATTTTCTAACACTTACACGTTTGAAACAGATCACTTTTGAAGTTGTACGCGAATGTGTTTTTTAAGGCAATCACAACACAGTTTGTTTTAGCTCATTATCGGGTGAGAAGTGCCCTGTCCTGATTCCTTCTTTGCGGTAGCACGAAAGGTTACGTTTGAACTTGAGCACGTAGAAGGCCAGTAGGAGGATAATAGGTGGTAAACACGACAAGGCGTAGCAGCTAGCCATACTGTCCCTTACGCTGTGTTGGCACGTGGGGTAAGTCCTGCTTCTGCCATACGTGTGGACGATTCAGACGGGCTGCTTCATATGCGCTGCGTCAGCTTATAGGGTGATCTTGTAACACTAGTCTTATAAAGATGACTCTAGCTTTTAGCCCAGTAATCATTAAATTGGGGAGGGGAACACCAAAGGCAAATAGTAGAAAGAAAAAACAATTACCGACTAGGAGAAAATAAAATGTTTGTGGGAATGCAAACTTAATAATATTGTTTGAGTTTTCGGAGGTAGGCAGATCTGGCCCCTGGACCTTTAGAAGGTCAAATCCCATTCGATATGCTCTGTCAAAGGTGCAGGAGAATTACTTTTAGAAAATGCATCGATTAAAATCTTTAAAAATTCGTCTTTGAAGTGCTAAATTTTATCTCCTTTTTTCTAACTTTTAGTAGATTATTTCATTTTTCTAAACAGCCAGATAAATGAGCTGTTACATTTTATGTTTTGTCTCAAAAGTATACATCTGACTGGTGATTCTTAAAGCATCTAGGCTATGCTGTGGCCTGATCTACAGGTGCTCTGCTATGAATGAAAAAATCAGATGCCTCTAGGGATAGAGGCAATTCTCCGAGAAGTTGCCTTAGGAGCTGATCTTGTTCTGGGCAAAATGAAAACAGGCCGAGGGGCATCGCAGCTCGCTCTCCCTGCTGCTGCTCTCAGCCCGTCAGCTCCCCAGGACTTCGGCCACGTTAGACTCAGCTGCTCTTGGGTGTCGGGGTACTGTGACAATGCGTTTTGGCATTTTACTGTTGCTTAGTTATCACTTGGGTGTGAAGAGCTGGTGTGTATCAACACAAAGACGTCAGTGGAAAGTTTGATTTGGACTTGAAGCAAGGTCGGGGAAGCTCTCTCTTCCTCTGACTGGTGTTAAGGCCTACACGCCTGCCTCTGCTTCCACGAGCGGCCTTTTAAATGCTGACACGCTTCCTGGTCCTGCCCAGCCCTGCTTACCGCCCGTGCAGCACCCACTAGGGGTGTCTGGTCTCATCTGTGCCGGACTCCAGGTAAACCGTGGTCCCCAGCCCCAGGTTACAGCTTTGGCCGAGACGCGCTAAGTTCGGCCGCCTGCTTTCTCTAAGTGTTGGAGTGTCACGGCTGCCCTACATGTGACCAACGCGGGACATGTCATGGTCCCTAGCCTGGCCACTCTGCAGTGCTCCCGATCAATACCAGGTGTGACATGCACAGAGTTGGGGGTTGTATCCTTTATGTGCCCCTGTACCTTAGGTGGGCGCTTGGTGACTGAGCGAACGAACAGGTGAATAATAGGTCATTCCAAGCCCAGGCCTCCCCGTCCCTCTCCCTCACCTCGTGTTGCTGCTCGTCACACCCTGGCACCCCACCTGGCCACTTGAAACGCCGGTGCGTCTCCTGATGTAGCTGACTGACGGCCCCCACTTCCCCCTCCCGCAGCTGGGTCCTCAGGCTCCATTTCTCCTGCTTACCCATTTTCAGACTCACACAATTGGATGTTCCTCCTTCTGCCTAAAGTAATCACCTGGCTCCCCATTGCTCTGGTGTCCCACGTAAGCACGTGGGTGGGTCTTCATTCAGTGAGACCGTGTGTGGCGTAGCCAGCTGGCTTGCCAGTCTCGTCCGGCGTCTCCCCGGCCGCCTCCGCCGAAGTGCTTGTGTGCCAGACTCTGCTCTTAGGTCTCGGCTCAGATTATTTCCTAGGGGAAGACTCGCAGCCGGGGCGAGTCAGGGGTCTTCCATCAAAGGAGTGGGGTGGGGTCGGGGCATTCTGACAGCTTCCTGGTAAATGCAGCAGGAAGTGGGGCTTGGCTGTTACGCATCAAAGGCCATGGCTGGGAGCCCCTTAGTGGAGTGGAAAGGGGCTTTGAGGGGAAGGTTACGGTCGGTTTTAACAAGAAAAGCTTTCATAGGGACGTTAAGCAGACAGGAGACCCCTGGTTTGCAGACGTAGGGGAGATGTTAGAATTGACAGGCTCGCCTGAGCCCTCAGAATTTGGGAAGAGGGACCCCAAAGTCCTGTGGTCAGGAGCTCTGCATGTAAGGCCCTTTAGGGGATGAGGGAGTGTATATGCCCAAGTAAAGGACACCTTAATCAGAGGGTGACCGTTAGACCCTGTTCAAGAAAATAAGTCAAACTCAAGCGATCTGTGACGTTTTCTTCTGTGAGATGAGCATATTAACTTCTTTCCTGGATGGTTGGTAAAGAGTTCAATATTGAACAAAGACAAGAACAGGCTAGAACTCCTCGTCTGTCAGTTCATAAAACGCAGTGGCCAGGATTCAATATTGAACAAAGACAAGAACAGGCTAGAACTCGTCTGTCAGTTCATAAAACGCAGTGGCCAGGACCTTGTCACTGGGCATAGGCGTGGGCCACGGCCTCTGGTCTGCGGGCGAGGCGGATCCCTGTGTCACCGGCCCTGCCCTCGTGTGTGCTTAGTGGACATGTGGTTTCTTTTCCACAAACAGCTGAGTTACCCAGAATGTTAAAACCTGCTGAGGGGTACAGGAGCTGAGAGGAAAGGGGTCTGAGACGCAGGGCCAGGAGCCCGGGGACGCTGGGACGGTCCTGGGCTTGCAGAGCTGGGCTGGAGGCCCGCGGACTGGCTCGTGTGCATGTGAAGTTGCGGACGGCCAGTGCTGTGCGTTCATACCTCGTATGCCCTTACCTTAGCAGTGAGCACTGGCTGGGGCCTGTGGATGGAGAGGTGTGGCCTGTGAAGTCGACATTCACCTTCACAGTGTCAACATTGTGTAAAATGTTGCCCGATGAAACATGGGTGTGGATGCGAACCGCTGCCCTCCCAGCGTGCATTGGGACTGCAAGACGCCTGCCACGAGTGCGGGCGCACCAGAGCACGGGGGGCCGGAGGGGCCGTGCTGGAGATCGCAGTGCCACGGGCCTCTGCTTCGGAACCAAGGAATCCAGAAATGAAGCTGATAGAACTGTGACCCGAAGGCAAGACCTAGAGCCTTGCTGACCTTGCTATCCTTGACCCTCCGAGCTCCTAGGGAAAAGGTGCTCAGCCAGGCGGATGACTCAGGACTGTTTTCCTAGGACTGGAAATGCAAAACTTGCATTTTCAGAACTCGACCGGGAAACCGATACCAGCCTGGCTATTGGCATCGATGCTTAAGCCAGGTCCTCGGCCCCTTTTGTTCACTGACATGTCACTAAAGGCACTAACCGAGCACCAACACCTTTCTTCTCTTGAACAGCAATACAACCAGGAAATCACTGACTTGAAACAGCCGGTTCTGGTCAGCCAGCCCAAGAGGAGGAGGGGCCCTGGCGGCACACTGCCAGGACCCGCCATGCTCATCCCCGAGCTCTGCTACCTCACAGGTACAAGCCGTGTGTCCCCGTGCTTGTTCACCCGCACCCTTCCCGCTCCCTGAAACCCTCACAGCTGCTTTGTCTCCTTGACGTCCTTTACTCATCGCCGTCCTGCAACCCAGTGTCAACCCAGCGGTTCGCATCCACACCCATGTTTCATCGGGCAACATTTTACACAATGTTGACACCGTGAAGGTGAATTCTTGTTTCTTTAAAATACGCCTTTAAATGTTTCTTTTGAAGGTCTGACTGATAAAATGCGTAACGATTTTAACGTGATGAAAGACTTAGCCGTTCATACGAGGCTGACCCCAGAGCAGCGGCAGCGTGAGGTGGGGAGGCTCATCGATTATATTCACAAGTAAGTCATCCACCTTGCACTGCGGTGTGGTTTCAAGTGTTTATTTTTTGGTGTGGGTCGGGGCAGTGACGCTCCTGGTGGGCATGACGGTGGCACTGCTGTTTGGGGCGGGGCTGCTGCTCAGGTTTCTAAGTGAAGCTCCCATGTGTCAGGAAGTAATAAAGTCAAACTGTCGCCCACGGCCTCTAAGCATTCTCTTGGGAAGAGGTAATAAAACAGCGAAACGCGTCTGAACAAACCTATTTTCTCTTGGTGATGACACCCAGGGGTTTACTGTGAGGAAGAGGGAGTTTGGGCACCAGGGTTTTCAGTGAAAGTGACAAGGGGAAGCCCGGGTGAGGGGAGAAGCAGGCGGGTCCTCTGCCCACAGCGCACTCACCAGGGCAGGTCCTGGGGCGCCAGACGCCCCTGCACTCGCGCACAGCAGGGCTGTTTGCATTGTGTCCGTCTGCCAATCCTGACGTTCAGCGGCATGTAAATGTGTTAAATTCGCAGAGACGATAACGTCCAGAGGGAGCTTCGAGACTGGGGTTTGAGCTTCGACTCCAACTTACTATCCTTCTCAGGAAGAATTTTGCAAGCAGAAAAGATTCACCAAGGTGGAAAAACAGTAAGGCGGTTTTTAAAGTCGTGGCTCAAATCAGATGGGGTCAGACTCCCAGTCAAGCGAGCAGGGGTCCCGGGTCAGGCGCCCGCCCATGGCTCCTCACCTCCGTCTCCTACCTCCATCCCCTGTCCACTGGTGCGGGCAAGAGGGAGTGGGCAGCTCTGGGGAGCCTGGGGCCAGTAGCTTGGGCCTCAGAATAACATGATACTTCATGGAAAGGTGGCTTAAGTGTTAATAGCATGAATTACTTGAGGTCTAGGAGAATTCTCAGTGTCTAATTGGGCCAATACTTTGCTACTAAAGTGATCTTTCCATGGAGAACTGCATATGGACTTGGCTTCATTTTCGCTAGGACCGTGTGTCGGTCGGGATGCAGGTTAAAGATTGTGATGCCTTTTCTATTTTATCTCCAGAAAAGGAAAGCGGGCCCTCTAAGCACTTTGATAGAAGCTGTGCCCTTCTGCCTCCTGAGTGCTCCCTGAGTACCGACCTAATCGAGTCAAGGACTGTTTCGACTACAATTGCCTAGTATCTCATTAGAAATAACGAAAATACACACCCCTGTCCGAGGGCTGCTGGGGAGGTGGGTAGGACATGGGAAAAGTTCTGGGCGTCCCTCTAGGTCACGCGCACCAGGTCACGGAGCCTTGAGCTTGCGTGAGCTTCTCTGCCTTGCTGCCAGAGCTTTCACAGCTTGCTTTCGGTACCAGACACCTTAGTCACACCGCTTCACTTTCAAAGTTGTACTTGTTTGTCATTATCACGAGGGAGGTGAGACCTGTCCTCGGGGTTTTAGGAAAGATGGAGGAGAACACAGCCGAAGCACGTAGGACGGCAGTGCCTAGTGCCCACGAGCGCTCGAGTGGCCGCTGTCACCGTGAATGGACATAGTCTAAGTAAGATCGCCATCCTCCTGTGGGTACACTGTATTCCCCCTCGCGGGCACTTTGTCCGTCACTGCCGTCCACGTGTCAGGGGCACTCGGAGGTTCTGAACATGCCGCCATAGGGTTACTGACGACTTTTTGGCTTTGTCACTGAGAACGCACGTGGAATTTACAGTGTCTCTGAACTCTCTTCTAGTTTGATTACAATCCACAATTTGCAGATTGGTCAAAAGAAACGAGAGGTGCACCATTAATTAGTGTTAAGCCGCTAGATAACTGGCTGTTGATCTATACTCGAAGAAATTATGAAGCAGCCAATTCATTGATACAAAACCTATTTAAAGTTACACCAGCCATGGGCATACAAATGAAAAAGGCAATAATGTAAGTCTATCAAGTCATTTATACTCTGAAAATTGATTAGTCACTTGGAGGGTGTGGGAACTGCAAAGTGATGAAGTATTAAAACACTAACTCGAGCACCATAAAGACGCGCCCACCGCTCCACAGGACGCGGCCCGGAAGCGCATCATCGTATCGGGGGGCGGGGGCTAGCAGGACTGTTCTCAGCGCTGCCGGCCAGTGTGTTAGACACAACTTTTGCCTAAATGGCTACCCTTGGCATTTTATTTCACACCTTACACAGAAGTGTTTCATGCACTGTAAGCTGCGGGAACTTTTTAATGCATGGTGCGTTCGTTTTTCATTACTTTCTCTGAGAGCTGGATTACGTATTTCCCTTCTAGGATTGAAGTGGATGATAGAACTGAAGCCTATTTACGCGTCTTGCAGCAGAAGGTCACATCGGACACTCAGATAGTAAGTAGCCCATCGGTCCGGAGGCAGCTGTCCTGGAGTGACTTGTTTACAAAGGGGCCTTTGGAAATCTTAGAACTCGAGTTCATTTCCAAATGTTATAATCCAGTTTCCAGACTGGGCACAGGATGGATTGGTTTCCTTGATAAGGCAGCGGGGCTGCTGCTGGCTGTGTCTGTGTCTGTGTCTGTGGCTGTGGCTGTGTGTGCTGGGGCTTGACGTCGTGCGCTGCACAAAGGTGTATAATTTCCGAAAATAGTGCTGCCTTGGAAAATAGTGCTGCCTTAAAGCGATTCGGACTCAGTGGCTTTAATTTTTCTAGAAAATCAAGGGAAACAGGCACACAGGTAAACATCGATGCTGTCGGCCCACACACACGGAAGCGTAATTCATGAGGCGGCCAGGACAACTCGTGGCAGACGAGCTCCCACGTAGCTGCAGACCTACGAGGCGAAGCGCCCGTGTCACCTGTGGGCTCGGCCCTCCACCTACCCCTGCGCGCCGGGGCGGAGTGGCGCAGACACCAGTGTGGGAGTGACTTTGTGGGGCTCTTGGAAAGGAAGGCAGGGTCTGGGGATGGCGACTGGAGAACTCAGCAGGGGGTTGAAGAGCTGGGCGCGGCTCCGTGACCCGAACTGGGGGCCCAGCATTTGGGCAGGCCGAGTCTGTTTGTCTGTTTTCCAGCTTTACTTAGATAGAGGTGACACCACGTGTGAGGTTAAAGCATGCCGTGTGGCGGAGTGCTGCACACACGTATTGTGACATGGTCACGACAGGATAGGTCTGCCGCCCGCACCTCACTGTCACAGCCTCCTGTATGTGTGGTGAAGTCTGAGATCTGCTCGTTAGCAACTTTCGAGGACATACAGTGCTGGCTGCTGTGGTCACCAGGCTGCCGTGAGCACCCCAGAGCTTGCTGAGCTTATAACCGGAGTCCGCACCCGCTGACTGTCACCGCCGGGTCTAGCAAGGCTCCGCTTAGATCAGGCACTCCGTGTCCTTTCCCAGGTGGCCTGTGGACTTCCTCGGGAATTTCAGTTTCGTCAGATTCTCAAGCCAAGCTTTCAGAGTTTAAAAACCATGAGCCTAGGTGGGTCGTGAGTAAACGGAAATAGCATTTTAGAAAATCTCTTGTCTGCTTATAAGTTACCACTTGGCTTTGCTCTCTTCTACCTCAGATTGTCCCCAGCTGGTGATAGAGCCTAAGATCCAGGTTTTAGTGGCGTTCAGGTCTAAGCTGTTGGCTGAACACAGTCTCTTTCCTTTATTAGCATCCGTCCCTTAGTTGAACGTAAAGAACAGTGTCTGAGCGTTAACGTCCTACTAGCCAAGTGGCAGAGGCGAAGAGTAAAACACGTGGCTGTGTTGGCATTTATGTCTCACAGGCTGGTCTGGGTTCCTGGAATCTGCTTGGAACTGAAGCTTGTCAGTTTCCTAATTCCTTGTAATGAGGGTGTTTTGTTTCTTTTTAGGTTGTTTGTCTATTGTCAAGTAATCGGAAAGACAAATACGATGCTATTAAAAAATACCTATGCACAGACTGCCCCACTCCAAGTCAGTGTGTGGTGGCCCGGACGCTAGGCAAGCAGCAGACCGTCATGGCCATCGCTACCAAAATCGCCCTGCAGATGAACTGCAAGATGGGAGGGGAACTTTGGAGGGTCGATATGCCTGTGAGTTCCATTTCATTGCTGGCTAAAGTTTTACTCGTTTAAGAAAGGTGCGTTTACGCTTTTAGCGTCGCTGGCACGCTGTCGTATCTAAATTTGCGATATTTCTATTAAAGCTGAAGCTAGCGATGATAGTGGGCATCGATTGCTACCACGACACCACAGCTGGACGGAGGTCAATTGCAGGATTTGTTGCGAGCATCAATGAGGGGATGACCCGGTGAGTGTGCCTGGGTGGCGGCGGCTGGCTGTCAGGAGGCAGCAGAGGCCGGCAGGCCAGCGCTGGTGTCTAGGGGCCTGCGAGAGACCGGCACTTTGTTAATTCTTTATCTTAACCTGCTGATTTCTCTGACAATAGATCCAGCCAAGAAGGTAGGAAAGACGTGTAATTACTAGCTGTTCAACCATTTTTACCTTTCTTCACTGTCCCTTAATCCATAGTAGTCAAACTGTCTTCAGGCTATTTTACTATTATTCGTGTTTGTGGGGAGGGTGCATCTCATTAAATGCGACCATCTCTGAGGGCTCCTTTGGTTAGTAAATTTTGCTGGTCACCAAAATGTAATTTCAAGTTTTCACAGTGACTTTGTTTTCGAAAACCCACTTGAGTTTACCCAGTCATTTGTACTCACCGTGGCGGAATTATTTTTCGGTGCTTTTATTAGGACTAAGAATTGCCAAGAATAAGGAAGAACGAAAAGGGAAGGTGCGTGGCGTGTCAGCGTCACTAGGGGGCGCACTTCCAGGGTTTCCGCCTTTCGGGAGAGTGACGCTGTAGCACTGATGCGTAATGCAAGCAAACTGAGTGTGTGGGTGTATCAGGAGCTCGCTGTGTCTTGCCAATTCTATTAAAGGTTACATGAAGTATTTCAAGGTGTTAGCAGATGTCTTTGAGGAGGTTAAAGGTCATGCATTGCTAGGAGGAGTTAAAGGGCGGGCTGTTCCGCCAGCTTCTCACCTCCGCCGTGCTTCTCTCCAAATAGCTGGTTCTCTCGCTGTGTGTTTCAAGACAGAGGACAGGAGCTGGTGGACGGGCTCAAGGTGTGCCTGCAAGGTCAGTCTCCCGCCATGCCTTCTGGTCTCGGAAGTGGGGGCCTCACGGAATTATCCCGAAGCCAAGTTATTGAGAAACATGCCCAGAATCTGGTAGGCGCCCTGTTTGCCGCGTGCGGGTTTGCGCAACCGCGTGCGGCTTCGTTGCAGCCGCCCTGCGGGCCTGGAACAGCTGCAACGAGTACATGCCCAGCCGCGTCATCGTGTACCGGGACGGCGTGGGTGACGGCCAGCTGAAGACGCTGGTCAACTACGAGGTGCCGCAGTTCCTGGACTGCCTCAAGTCCGTGGGCAGAGGCTACAAGTAAGCCCGGCTTTCCTTATAAATGACACCTGTTTAGTTTTGGACCTGTGTCGAGGGCGAACAGGTGAGTGAGGTGGCGGCGTGCCAGTGGCGGTCAGCTCAGCCACGGAGGGTTCCCGTGGAGGCTGTCCTGGGGCGGGGCTGCAGAGGTCGACGTCCCCCGGCAGTCGTCTGCCCGCCAGCCTTGCCGCGCGGGGCTCTGAGCACCCAGCGCACCGGAGCACACGGGTTGGTGATCGCCACCAAGATCCCGGGGGGCTGCCCTTGCTCTCTCCACCCCCGCGGACAGTGAGTGCTCGCTGAGCTCTGCCAGCGACTGGGCTGGCGCTTTGTGATGGAGGCGATCAGTGGCCTGGTCTCCCGGGAGGAGCCGGTTTCCCCCCTCCTCAGAGACGTACGGCAAGTGCGGGCGGGCGGGCGCTGGCGTGTCTGATGCCACCCTGTTCTCTGCCTCCTCTGCTCTCCTGCAGACGTCACCGTCTCTGCCACTGGGCAGCAAGTTGCCCCCGTCTCAAGCTGGCTGTTGTAGTGAGTGACGTGTGATTGTGCAGATGGCTGAGAGCGCAGACTCGGGTACGGGGAGCGTCTGCAGGTCCGACTTCGAGGGCCCTCAGAGACTCGGGGGGCGTGATCCTGCATGTTCCGCTCTGGCTCTCGTGCTAGGCCTCCCCAGCGGCCCTTGTCCCCTTGCAGAAACGAGGGGTGAGCGTCCCGGCTCCGTGCGGCCTGCCGGGCTCTGGGCTGGGCACTAAGAAGGGGTCCCCCGTTTCTAGCAGGAGTGCAGGTTCTTCCGGTCTCCTTTGGCCGCATCGTAAGGGACCTCTTCTAAGTGGCGAGATTACGTTGTCAGTTCTCAGCAGGTCAGGGGCATCGCCTCGAAGTCGTCGTGATTCAGATTGAAATGTAATAAGCAGTTTTTAACGTTGTGGAAATGAAGGTTGATATTCGTTCTCACTTCCTGAAACTCTTAATGCTTGTGTTTTCTCACTAAAATAATGGGTTGATTTTACCATCTTTTGGTTTTCGAAGTTCTCTAGGCCTTCTTCGTATTCTCTCTGATCCGACTTCCCGTCCACGGGGAGGCGGGCGGAGGACAGGAAGGGCTGGCATGCCACCTCTTCCCCAGCCGTCAGTGTCTGCCTGGTAGTACCTGGCACTTCCTAGTCGTAGTGCCTTTTCCTCAGCTAGAGAAAGAGACATTTCCAGAAGCGACAGCAGAGGCCACGGCACGTGTTCGTGCTCTTTGCTGAGCCGCAGCCCAAGGCTGGGAGTGCACGCCGTCACCGGGCAGCCCTGGGGGTTTGGCCCGGGAGGACCACACAGAGAGGAGCTGCTCCCCAGGGAGGATCCCGGCAGGTTCCCCACGATGCCGTCTGGTGAGGCGCGAGGGGCCTGGGCCGACAGTGACCGTGCCGCCGCCTCCGTGTCGGGAGCTGTGCTGAGGTTTGGGCTGCAGAGAGCCATGGTTGTGAGCAGTGGGCATTGAAGTCGGAGTTGAGTCCCCCGCCAGCCTGGCCCCCGTCTGGGACGGGGCCAGCCGAGCAGGCTGCTGAGAGGGGTCAGCGAGACCGTGTTCCTCTCAGCCCCCGCGAGCATGCAGGCAATGGCAGAGGGTACGTCCAGAAAAGAGCTCAAGGTCGTCGTACGGTAACGTGACGTCCGGGCGCGAGTCCTCACTCTGGAGAGACGTGAAGTTGGGGCGTCAGTGCGTGTGCTCCCCGAGGACCACGGCGTCCGTTCTTACTGGAAACGCTGGAGTCAGCGTTTTATAAGGTCGCGTCCCGGGTTAGCTGGTCAGGATGTTCGCTATGAGAACAAATCAAAAGCCACTCCGGCATGCGCGTGACTTCTTCTGTCACCACGTTTGCTAAGTCGTTTCTTGTGATGTCACGAGACTAAAACCCACTTTGTCTTTTGGTTCCTGAGACAGGCTATGTCCTATCCAGGGCCACTGTTGCCAAGCAGCAGACATCCGTGGGCAGATAGTGGCATTTTTGGAAGTTTCCTCTTTAAGGAGGCCCACCTCCCACCCCCGCCTTACTCGGGGACCACCACGAAGGAGCGCTGCTGAGTCTGTCCCCACCTGCCCAGACAGGGTGCTGTGACTACCTCCCAGGTCACACGCTGCCCGTCCACACCCCACGGGAAGTGCTCGCTTCTCAGTGCTCAGGCTCGGGAGGAGCCAGTGTCCAGTGGGAGAGGGCACGGGGGGCGGCACTGGCACCCCATGCCCACCAGGCCCACCATGCAGCTGCCCTGCCAAGCGCCTTGTGTTCCCACGCCCCTCTCGCCAGACGGTGTTTTTCTGCCCACAGTTTACTGCGGGTCCTTACTCTGGGTCCTCACCAGTCGCAGACCTTCCTTCGCAGTCGGTTAGATAATGTGCCCCAAGTGTGTTGGGGGGGGATGGAGTATGTGAGCGATGGTTTGTCACAGTGAAAACACGGCTCAGTGTAGCATTCCTCGCTGCCTTTAAGCCCCAGACTAACAGTGATCGTGGTGAAGAAACGCGTGAACGCCAGATTTTTTGCTCAGTCTGGAGGGAGACTTCAGAATCCGCTTCCGGGAACAGTGATCGACGTGGAGGTGACCCGCCCGGAATGGTGAGTCTGCGTGGTTGGGTTGGGCGGTTCTGTTTTGTGTTTCAGAGCATGGCTGGTATTGTGTGTCAGCTCCAGCGCGTTCACTTTTTAGATCTTAGGCTGTGTTTTTTATAGAAACCGAAGTCTTCAGCCAGTCTGATCTGACAACAGCTGCGGTTTGTTTCCTGCCATCTGTATCGTTAACCCGACAGACAGACGGGGGTCAGGAGCTGTGGCTGCGGACGGCCTGGGCTGGGTTGACAGACGGAACCTTATCCACAGGTTCTCGTTTCCTAATCGGGATTGTCAGATCCGTAATGCACTTAGTTATCCCAGGGTCAGAACGTTTCATCTGAAACTCAGTTGCAGATGAGAAAAGTGGCTTCTGAGTAAACAGAGCTTTGTCTGCGACCTAGAGGCACAGTGTGCCCTCAGGACGTGAGAGAAGCATCCTGGGCATTCGGGCACACTGACCGCCAGGTGCATGGAAAGGGTCTCAGCACACGGGCTCAGCTGCAAGGGCACAGTGATAACCCGCTGGTCTGTCCCCGTCCCTGCCCTCCTGGGGACAGTGAGCAGCTAGGACAGTTTCTGTTTTATACGTGAATGTTTTGGGGCCTTTTTCGAAAGGCAGCTTTATTCAAGAGAGAGGGTTGTTCCTGGTGCTGGGTGTCTGTGGCGAACACCCTTCCCGAGGGGACTCTGGAGAGGGGGCTGTGCAGACAAATGGTGACAACACCGACTTTAGTTCCCCTCATGGCTGCGTGTGACGGTGGGGAGATGCCTTGTCTTGCTCGTCTGTCTCTTTCCCGGGCAGATGCTGGCTGTGGCGGGGCTTCAGAGGGGCTCTGACCTAGTGGGGGAGTCAGCCAGGGGACACCCGGCGGCTATGACGGTTGCGTAGAGTCATTTATTGCAGGGGTCTCTGGGCATTCAGGAGATCCACAACCCTGTCTGTCATTGCTGCCCTGACACCCGAAGCTCATGTGTCACCCTGATCGGTGTGAACAGATGGGGCAAACTCTGAGTTGAATGAAGTATGGAAACTTTCACTACTTTTTATTAGACGCTATCGAAAACGTAACAGCTGCCGGTGCTGTTTGGACGCCTGGGGGCATCTGCCTCCGAGACTCCCAGAACCGTTCTCAGTTGCCAGCTCTGTAAATGATGGTGTGCTGAAGAGAGGGACTAAGCGTTTGATCGAGCTCTGTCGTGATTTCTCTGTTCTTTTGGGCAAGTCATGTAACATTTCCGAAACTTTCCTTCTTATAAAAACCTATGATCTGTTGTAGATGGGTTCTCACCATATAATTTCTCTGGTTTTGTGGACGTAATAAATTGCAGAGGTAACATCCTCATGTCTTTATCACGTCAGATTCCAGTATCTCTGGATTGGCGTTTTATTGGTACCGAGATAGGGGAAGCAGCAGACGTCACATTATTTTTTTTGTGCTTCTGTTTGGCCCTTTGGTTCCTCTGCTGTTTCTCTGTACATGCTGTCATGCTCTCCATTCCTCGTACGGGTTTGCTGTAAACCCTTGCTGACTAGTGTCAGCTACGTCTCTCTCTGTGGGATAGCAGTGAGAACAGCAAGGGGGACGGGTTCTGTGGTAAAGGCATATTTGGGGGTGACAGTGCCGGGAGCTGGGCCCGTCCCGGTTGCCATGGTGCAGCCCTCCAGAGCATCCCGCTGTGGAGCCACCTGGGTCAGACGCGGCCGCCAAGAGAGGGTCGTCGGTGTACGCCGCTGCGACGCGCGGCCAGAGGCACCCGTGACAGCTTCACCGTCAGCAGCAGTGGCTCCCAAGACTCCCACACACGCGCAGCCAGGGGTTCAGTGCCAAGCGTGGGGCTTCAGGGAAGCCGCTCTGTCTTGAAGAGATTGGGTTACATTAGTGCATAAGATCGTTTTAGGGCAAGAAACTTGAATCATCGTAATTGCGGCTTTCAGAGAGAAGCCTTACGTCCATGGGGCGTGTTCTTGTCTCTGTTCTGTGATTCCAGGTATGATTTTTTTATTGTGAGCCAGGCGGTGAGAAGCGGCAGCGTCTCCCCCACGCACTACAACGTCATCTACGACAACAGCGGCCTGAAGCCAGACCACATACAGAGGCTCACCTACAAGCTGTGCCACGTCTATTACAACTGGCCAGTAAGTGTCCCCCGCGTCGGCGCTCCCTCACACCGAGACGCTTCTCAAAATGCAGCCGCTGTTTCCAAAGGCTCTGATGGTCAGTGCTGAGATTTACGATTTAGAGAAAGCAGACTTAGCGTAACAGAGCCTTTTTTCTCCCACTAAAGGGTGTCATCCGCGTTCCTGCCCCTTGCCAGTATGCCCACAAGCTGGCCTTCCTCGTCGGCCAGAGCATCCACAGAGAACCCAACCTGTCACTGTCCAACCGCCTTTACTACCTCTAACCTGCAGAGGACGCCAGAGGTGCAGCTGCTCTGCGTGCGGTCGAGGCTTCGGGGCTTCCGGCTTCTGCTTCACCGTCATCTTTCTAGGTGGAACTCGCGAATTAGGAGGTCTAGGCTCAGAATTCTGACATCGCTCTTAACTGACTTCCTTTATAGGTGAAAATTAAGGTTTTATATTTTATCTTGTTTCCTTCTCATAAACATTTTGTGAGGATTTTTTGTTTCCTATGACAAATGTAGATAAAGTACTTTGTATTATAAACAGACTCTTACACGATTTGGAAAGTGGGGATTTACTTGAAAGTACTTTCGAGAGTGAGAAAGTCCTACTTGTAAACCTATGTTAACCTTGTTTTTGAAATGTTTATTTTGAATTTGAAGGAGAAAAGGCACGAAGTGGGAGGCTCACTGTAGCGGGAACGCAGGGTTTTAGCTGGGCGTCTCGTGCCGCGTGTTTTAGAGGCAACAGCTGCCATTAACCACCTGCACGAGGTGGGGGGACGACGTGACATTGCGGGGAAGTGGGCTTGCTTTTCATTTGGGGGCCAGGTGGTACAGGGGTTAAAAAGAAGGGAGCTGAAAAGTTTTAAATTTCAGTCTAAAGAAACATTTTAAGGCTCTTTAACAAGAGGCCCGTAGTCTATATTAACATTATTATTTATTTTGCTTTGCAACTGGAACATCATTCTATTTGCTATAAAATAAACTTGAAGTGACTGTCACCTTATTTGAATCACATCGTAGCTTTTGTTTCTACTTGAAGCACGTGCATTCTTTTTCCACTTAATGTAGTTTTTAAATTGCTGGAGAGCACATTCAGTCCAGAGGATGTCCCGTTTCTAAAAGTTAATTAGCGTCACTTCTGAATTTGTGTCAGAGTAAAATCATGTGCGGAAACGCCTCTCCTGCAGCCTTTACAGCGGGAGGATGGCTGCCCACCGCTCGCAAGGGAACGCGGGCTGGGAAGTCGTGATTGATTCATATTTACATGTTTATAGTTTTCAGGAAATTTTGCAGGCAGCGGGCTTGAAGTTAAGGAGTCCGTGCGTGTCAGGAGAACACCTTTAAACAGTGCTCATCGCTGGACCGAGTGCAAACGCTGAGGAGCCTGCACGAGCCCCTGGGACCGGAACCGATCGAGTTCAGTAAAGTCCTCGCCTCGGTGTCATTGAACTCGGTCTGTGGAACGAGGACCTTTTGGGTTGAGCCTTACGAACATATTATGAATGAAAACCGTTCGTTTCCTTTTAGTTTGAGCCGATAACTGTCATCGCCATCATCCCTGCTCTTAGCCCCAGTCGCTAAACCGCTTTGATGTCCAAACACCAGAAGGAAAAAGAGAGGACTGCAAAGTTTCGGAGGGCCGCCAGCGGAGTCCGGGACAAAAGTCACACAGCGTCAAGGGCGTGAGGGCGTCCAGCAGCCCCGGCACGGGAGGCTGACTGAGGCGCGGACCGTTGGCCATGCGGCCTGTGGCTAGGCTAACCCCCGTCATCACGGTGGTGGTCTTAGCAGGTCTCAGACCGTCCCATGGAGCGGGGGTCTTGATCGTCTTTGAAAGCGTGAGGGGTGGGGAGTGTAGCGGTTGTGGAGCCGCAGTGGACAGAGCGCCACTGCAGCCGGGGCAGAAGGCCGGCGGGTTGCCGAGGGCCCGAGCCACTCTGCGGGCTTTCCACACCTGGGTGGCAGTGCCTGTGGGCAGTGTGCTGGATGTCCCCTCATTTGCTCTGTAGTGACACAGACCACTGGGCTGCGCCGCCCCAGGGAGGCCAGGCGGTTTGTCCGGGGCTTAGGCCAGTGCCAGCTGAGATGGCCCGTGGCACCCAGCTAATGGAACGACCGGCCACCTGGCCTGGCCTGCTGCTCCCAGGTGTGGCCTTTGTCAGGTTGCCCCAGCAGGGCTACAGACAGCCTCAGGGCTCCGACAGGGTCTCAGCCCCCGCTGTGGGAGGACACACCTCCCCAGGGGCTGTGGCAAAGCCCCGGCCATCAGGCATTGTGTCCTGTGCCTGGTGGCTGGGCGTGCCTGGCCACTGGTGCTGAGCAGCTCCCCGCGAGGGCAGGGGCGGGCGGGGAAGCGCAGTGCGTGTCCACTCAGCCCGTTGAGGGCCAGTCAGCTTTCAGAAGTGGCACCTCCACCCATCCCCGCAGAGACGGGCACGGCAGAGCGCTGACTGGGAGGGGACCCGCCGCAGCCCAGCCCGAGGGCCGAGCAGACACCGAAGTGCCAGCTCCTCCCCACCTGAGCCCTGTGGCCCGGGACCCCGAGAGGGGCACAGACGGAAGTCTGACTTCTTCCTGAGTCTGCAGGTTTTTTCCCTCGATGGCCCCCGAATTACCCCCACCCCCGGCCGGAGCTCGCTCTCGAGGGTTTCGCGTGCTGCTCCCTGGAACTCGCTGGCTCCGAGATTGGAAGTTTTCTCACTCGGGAATTTCCGTTCACACGAGGCGTCCGCTGCCTGAGCTGGACTCAGCACTTCAGCCCGAGGCTGTGAGGTGAAGTCACAGATACTCGTGCCTTTTTAAGGTTTCGTCCCGTTCGCGTGACGGGTATCGCCATTATTCGAGGCTTAGTTCTGTTTGTGGTGTTACTGCACCCTGGTTAAGTCATTTAAAAATCTGGGGTAAAAATAGAGGAATTGTCCAATTTCAAGGGACCGAGTCAGCGTGGAGCCTGTGCACGGTATGGCAGGGTGGGCCCTCGGTCAGCCAGATGATGGCAGAGCCTCCGCTGCGGGTGACACTGCCCCTCTTGGGGTCTGTGCTGCCGCCAGAGGAGCTCAAGGGGGAGGCGTCCCGTCTTCACAGCCCCCGCCCCAGTGTGCGTGCCCTGGTCCCTGAGGTCTCAGCGTGGGGCTCCACATCACCGTCACGTCTCAGACCCTTCTTCAGGTCTCAGGCCTTTCCCAACACACCTCTCCCCTTCCCAGACCTTCTGCAGTGTCCCGTGGAACCCAAGGGCATGGACAGTCACCCTTCGTTTGACATGGTCCTTGACTATCTTGCTCACCCCCTAGCTTTCTCCCAGGACGCCTCCCACCTTGGTGGCACCCCGTCCCCCACACCATCTGGGTCTGGAGGTGTCTTCCTGTTCTTCACTGGTGCTTCCAGAAGCCCCCGCAGCCCCAGCCTTGCCCTCCGGGGACCACTCGGACCCTCCCGAGGGTGGCAGGACTCGGCTCCAGGTCTGGCTCGGGTGCGCCAGCCGCGCCTGCCATTCGCTGACCGCCAGCTCCCAGGCCGGCCCCCTCTGCCCGGCGCCTTCTCCCTTCCTCGGCAGCTCAGAACCAGCCGCGCGCTGTGCCGGAAGCTCCAGCCGTCGTGAGAAGTCAGGAACCTATAGGGACCCAGCAGCCCTGTGGCCACGCGTCCACCCCCACCCCACCCCCGCCCCCTGCGCGTGGGCCTCACCCAAGTCGTGGCTCTCTCCCTGCTCCATGTCCGAGTTGCCTGTCCCTCAGTCATTTCTAGTGGCCTCAAACCTGGTGTTACATTTCCATCCTAAAAATGAGGCCTCGCAGGCCCCATGTCCCTCCGTGTCCTGCTACAGTTCAGTTTCTCTCCGCCTTCCAGCAAACTCCCGCCCAGGCCATGCTGCCCGTTCTCCCTGCCCCGCCCCCCAGCCGAGGTCAGTGCAAGGGTGGGGCCAGGGGTGGCAGGGAGGAGCCCTTTGGTGGGGGGTTGAGGGGCTTCATGGCCTCCACTGTGGCATGGGCAGGTGGCCCGAACACAGGCAGGCACCGCACTCCTGGTCCTGGGGCCCGTGGGGACGGAGCCCGCACAGGGCGGCACCTGGGCCAGCAGCACCCGCCTTGCAACTCGCGTGCTTCCAGCCCCGCCACGGGCCCGGGGCCTAGGACGCTGGGGACTGGGGGCCCTCACACCTTTCTGCACACCCCGCTTCCAGTCCCTCACCCAACTCGTAGGCCTTGCTTTTCATTGTTTCAAATCATCTTTATTGAGGTGTAACACATGCAAATGAATCGTTTGGTGTTTCGATGAGTGTGTATACTCCTGTGCCTCGCCCACCGTGCAGAGCGCGTTTTTGTGGTCTCTAAGCAGTTTTATATTTTTCAGTGTACAGGTCTTGCACTTGTTTCGTTAAATTTGTCCCTATTTCATGTTTTTTATGTTAATATGACCAATTACACATTATATTATTATGTCACTTATATCTATATTTTAATTTTTCTCATTGTTCCCTCCTGGTTTGTAGAAATAGTTGGTTTTATATGTCGACCCTGTACCCTGTCACCTTGCCGAACCGACTTACTACTTCCGCAGAGACTGTTTCAGTCCTTCCTCCCCAGAGGGCACGACTCCCGTCGTCCTTCCTCGTGCTGGCCGCGAGCTCGGGCGCTGCCGAGCGCGAGTCGTCAGGCGTCCTGCGCTGCTTTTGAGGGGACAGGGGAAGTGGTCAGTCACCACCACTCAGGATGCTGTTGGCTGTTGACTCTCCCAAGTCGAGACATTGGGAATTGAATTTTATATCTGTTGAAATGATCAGATATGTCTTTGCTTTGTTAATACAGTAAAGTACATTGTTTTGTTTTGTTTAGAATGTTAAACCGACCTTCATTCCTGGGATGAGCCATAGTTGGATTCAATCTGCTATTGTTCTGTTAAGGATTTTTTTTTTAAATCTTCATTTATGATGTTGTCGATCTGTAGTTTCCTGTGGTGTCTTTGTCTGGTTTGGTGTCAGGACAATGCTGGCCAGAGGTTTGGGCATTTTTCTTCTCTTGTCTGGATGAATTTGTACACAGCAGGCATTGCGTGCAGTCCTTAAATGTTTGGTAGTCTTCACCAAAGCGAAGTCTAGCTCGTTGCTTTGGGCTTTGTTGGGAAATTTGTAAATATTTTCAAAAGATTTAGAAATACATTAGTCCTGGTTACTTTGACTTATTTTTTTATTTTTATTTTTTTTGGAGAAATTGTGATGTTTATTTTTCATTGTACAGCATGTGTCATATGAAACTTACTAGTTCGGTCATTGTTAAGTGTGTGGCATTGAGCGCATTCATGCTCTTGTGTAGACTGACATGTCACATCGGTGTTTGTTACACTGCAATGAGTTTGATCTAGCATCGGTCTTTGTTTGTTTGTTTTTTGTTTTTCATGGTACGTTTACGCTCCAGAACTCGTCCCCCCTGCGCAAGTAAAACTCTGTGCCCGTGCCCCCGCCCCCGCCTTCCTGCCCGGCCTGTGTGCGTTCGAGGGTTTTCAATCGCACACACGAGATCAAGCCGTGCTCCCCCGTCCTCAGCCTGCACCTGCCAGTGCCTCGGGTGAGAGGACATGACGTGGCTGGTGGCGTGGTGGCACTGCTCACACCCTCGTGACAGCTTCACGCCTTACGCGCTGGAGTCATGTTTCATCTTGCCAAAAGCACGTTGCTTTTACCTCTTATTAGACTAAACCCTATTATTTGGGCAACTTTAAAATAAGTAAGGCCTTTAGGAAAAGCTCTTAGGTTTGAGACGTTAAGTTGCGTTTTCTTGTGTTTAATTGGTAGAGTTCTCTATTCGTATCGTTTGAGTTCTAACGTTGCCCAAGGAAAACATTACAAATATGGTTCGATTTCACTTTTGAAGTCTTTGTTGTACGTATTTCTCATGCACAAAAAATACTGACTTGGTGCTAATTACCTTTTTTTTTTTTTTTTTTTTTTTGCCCCTGAGTGGGTTGTCGCCGACAATGCCCGGGGACAGCATTTTGTAAGGGACTTCCAGCACAGGTTGGAACTATTTCAGAGAAAGGAGCTCCGGAGAGAGTGGCTGTGGGGCTCTCCCGCACGTCCAGGACAGGGGTTTGGCTGTGCGTCTCTGCCAGTGTCACACACAGACACAGCGTAGCCGGCATTATGGAAAATAACAAACTTTATTTCTATAAAACGTTTCACACCGACTGTACACATGCGCGCGCCCACGCAGCACTGACACGCACCGAGGCGTCTCCTCCGATGCGTCTACGCATCACATACTGTTAGAGCACACTTCACAGCAGGTTTCCAAGACACGGGAAAGCTCTGTCATTCGTTTACAAACCTTCCATAAATTACAAAAGAAAGGCAGTCTGGAAAGTATGTATAAAGAGTAAAAACAATTTACAAGTGGACAAGAATTACAAAATAGTAACTGTCAAAGACATCTGCCAGCAACTGTGTAAGTCTTTTGTTCAAGTGCCAATGAGGAAGGTCTATGGATTCATTTTAACAGACTTAAATTTGGGATGTTTTGGTGTGGCTTACGCATTACGTGGATTGTTTATCGTGTGCGCTGTTCGTGTTGAGTAGTTGTGTATGGCATTTTGACAAATAATGAAATAACAGAAATCCACACGCTACAAAATGTAACGCTAAAAGCAATGAGTGTCACCAGCTTTCTGGAAGGTTGGAGCGGTGGCATTTGACCAAACCGAGTTACTTTCTGTCCTCTGTTTTAAGTGATTTGAATAAGTAAACGTTTTCTGTGTCACCTGGCTCGCTCTGAAGGACGCAAAACCAGGTCCCTAAAGCGCACAGTCGTGCACACCGATTTGGACCCGCGTCTGTGGGTCGAGTGCCAGCACGTGCCGGGGGACGCTGACGCTTACCAGACGGCACGAACCACGGTGTGTTTATAAGGCAGAACATCAAGGCCGTGGGGCTAGGGGTGTCAAGACCAGAGTCAACAAGAGACTGACGCATCATGAGGCAAGCGTTTTGGGAAGGGAGAAAGGCTGGAATCATTCCTTTCAGGGCAGGTGACAAATGCACAGAGACGGGACTCACGGCTGGAGTGAGCTGCCCGGAGCTACTGGCCCCCGTTTGTTGGTGAGACCCCCCCCTCCCGTTAGGCCTGGGGCACAGAGGCTGGGAGCGGGCCGGGGGCTCTGTGTCCGGGCAGGCGGGCGGGCGGACTAAGGTGGATGGCAGTGCAAAGGGCACGTGTCTACTGGCGGCAGGGAGGGGACTGTCGGGGGACGCGAGCCGTGGGAGCCCTGGTGCAGGATTAGAGAGTGACACAGACCGGACGCGTCCGGCCGCAGGGGTCATTTCGCCGCGCCCAGCTTTTTCAGCAGCCTCTTGCCTTTGAAAAGCAGCCCCTTTTTCTTCCTGGAGGGCACTCCCCTGCCTCTCCCAGGACTACCAGTCCCCACAGGTGACGCAGGTGACCCCGCGTGGAGGCGGGCTGTGGGGGACGGCTCTCTCCTTGCTGTCCCTGAACCCTCGGGAGGAACCTAGTAGGCACAGTGTCACAGTTTAGCGTGCGCCAGCGCCACCGCCCGCTCGGTGATGTCGCGCGCCCCGAGTCCCACCGGGAAAGGGAGGGGCGCGGCGTCCCGGGAAGCACCCCTACCCAGCGCCTGAGACGGCCCCTGCCGCCTCCGTCCCTGCGCCCACGGGGCGGGGTGGCCACTGCTTTGGCAAGACGCAGCCAGGGAGTCATTTCCTCTTAAGACCACAAGCAGGGGGGAAGTCACTTTACACAAGAGGCTGACGGTAAAACTGGCCAAGGACCCTTCAGTTATCTCGAAAGCGGAAGTTCTTAAGGGGAGCTGTGTGGTCTCTGAAAGCCACACGGTGCCTAACCCCCGGGACGGCCCAGGGCGTTCCTGGGCTAGGCACCCTGGAGATGGCACACCGGTTGAAAGAAAAAGCTACGGTGAACCTTCATTCCAATCGAAGCAAGCTCGAAGGCCCCTTCGCGTGCGGCTGTGGCCTCCGGTGGCACGTGGGCTCAGCGGTGAGCACGGCACCTCCGGTCCGCTCCGCTCCGCTCCGCATGCTCGAGGGCAGCGGGGCTCTGCCCGAGACCCCCCACCCCAACCCCCCAGTGCCCGTCACTCAGCAGGTGGATGACACGAGCCAAGGGCTCGAGCTTGCTTGGATTGGGAATCAAGGTCTGACTCTGGAAGACACCTCGTCAAGCACCCAAAGCCACCTGAAGACACCGCCTGCCCCGTCTAGCGCCCCGCGGGACGCGGTATTGCATTGGCGTGCCAGCACAGCGGCCTTCCTGGGCCTGTGCCCGGGCGCCTGCCTGCGCCTGGAGACGCTTGGTGCCCCCGGAGGGCGGAGGCCCAGTTCCTGGGGACAGACACGCCGGCACGTGCGGGCTCAGAGCCGACTCTGGCCACCTCGCAGCCTCTGCCGTGTGCTCGGTCTCGGGTCACGCTCTTAAAGGAAGTTCCCTGCGGTAAACGTGTTTACCGGGCTGCGCTGTTTCCGGGAAGGGCCAACAATGCAATACGCAGGTCCGCCCATGAGCAGACGCGGGACACGCTCTGCGTGAACCATACGTCCCCGCGCTGGCCTTTGGGACATCCATACTGTGGACAGTAGGAAAGGGCTATGAAAGGTGGCTGGCCTCACTGCCACTCGGTTGCTTTACAACCGAGGCCGGCGACACGCTAGTGCTGAGGCCCCGTCTCTGGGACATAGCTCCTTTTCCAGCCCGCGTGGCCTTAGTGCTCAGAGCGCATTGGTCCGTTAAGGTGGCTCTGAGGTGGCATCTTTAGAGGTGTCTTCAGTTGCTCACTTACGTGAAGGCTACATTGCCTGATTAAGGTGTAAAATGAACACTCTTCTTCTGTTTCCAAGCAGATGAGCAAAGAAATAAAAATATATATATAAAAATGTAATATATAAAAACTCGCAGTGATGAAATAAAATAAAGATGAGACACTAATGATGGAACCTAGTCGTCCAGGAGGCTCAAGCTCGGGGAGCCCTGGGCTCCCGGCGGACAGGCCTGAGTCCCCCGGAGCCACCGCCCTGCGCACCTAAGGAGTGGCCACCCGCCGAGGCGCGGCAGACTGGGCAGGGCGCCCCCTGGTGGGTGAAGGCGGGTCAGGAGACTTGAAAGGGTCGGTTGGGGGTGTGAACTTAACATCTGGCACTAAGAGTGTCTAGGCACGCCCCCCATGGGAGGACAGAGGAAGAGCTCGGGGCACATGCTCCTCGGAGCACAGAGCACAGGCCGCAGGCGACACCGCCTGGCGGGAGGGGGCGGGGCGGGGGCGTCCGCTTACCCGCTTGGCCTTGGCGCGCGGCGGCGGCTCCTGCGCGGGGCGGGACGGGACGTCGGACAGGTAGACCTCCACGTCGTCGGGCACCTCTTCCAGGAAGTTCGAAGGGACCAGGCCTTTCTGCCCGTTGAGCTCCCCCTGCGAACACAGCGTGAGGCCCCGGAGCCGCTGGCTGTTTTCCCCAAAACCCACTCCTGGCTTCAGCTAAAGGGGCAGGGCTCAGAGCAGACAGGCGCGGTGGGCTTGTCCTGGGTCCGAAGTGCTGGGACCCAAAGGGACGCTGGTGTCCCCAGACCACCCTGATCCTGATCAGGAGCATGCCCGGAGACCTGCTCAGACTGCGTGGCGGGGCCTGGGCGGGTCGCAGCGTGAGGCCCCTTCCTGACGCTCCGCTCTCCCGTCTGGTTCAGTGGGTCCTGGCCCTGGGAGCCCTGAGTCCCTACGGCCACCCACCCAGCCAGAGCGTGCTGATTGCCGCCCCCCCTTATGCATGACTGCCTTCTCACTATGTCAAATGACATGGGGACAACAGCATTGACACCTCAGAAACTGCTGCTTAGGTTGGTACACACCCTTCCAGACCTTTCTACTAACTGCACACCTGTGCGTGCACACAGCTGGGGCCACGAGGCATTGGGACCGAGCAAGTCAGCCCACCCCCAATGCTAACCTGCCCCACAAGTGCCCCGAACCAAGTCCAAAGCTGGCCAGCCCCAGACGCCGTGGGAGCTCATCTCTGCCCACGAGGCGCAGGAGCTGACAGCAGGAAAGTGGAGCCCCCTGCGTCAGAGCACACTCCCCACCCCCACCCCCACCCAAGGCCACACCAGCAGTAGGCGGTGGGACCAGGAAATCTCGGAACGGGGGCCAGGGCCCGCAAGTCAGCATGAAATAGCTCGACCACAAAACGGCAGAGCGCTCGGGGAGGTGTTTCTCCAAAAAAGGCACAGAGACACCGACGAGCTCACAAAAAGGTGCCTGACCTCCACCGGGACGGCCACCACCAAGAACCAAGCTAACACTGGTGCCGGTGATGGCGTGGAGGGGCCGGGCTCACAGAACGGAAACTGGCACCACCACGTGACCCAGCAGTCCCGGCCCTGGGTAGAGACCCCAGGGGAGAACAAACAAGCAAAACGGAACATAAGACACGAAGGAAATGGTGCTTCCTGCCGTCTCGGAAACTCACGTAATAAAATCCATCTTCGTCAATCTCACCAAAAACAGTGATGATGTCTCCCGTGCAGAACGTGAGTTCGGCCTGCAGACACAGAACGCGGGGTTAAGGGCATTTTCCTGTCCCAAGCCACGTTTGTTACAGCCACGATTTCCCTATTTCCTTTCTTTTCTTATTATTTTGGCATTAACCTCCTCACGCGACTGAATGAGGGAGAAACGCACAAAGCTGACGAGCCTCTCCGCAGCCTCTTAGGACTCGGGGACAAAACAGAACGAGGCCCCCCTTTACAAACTGCCATGGCGGCTGATTCCCAGCCAGAATTCAAGGTCACCGCCAGGTCCTGCCGGTGGTGTGTCTTTAGGGCCAGCCAGACCTGGGGCCTCGGGATGCTCTCGGCAGTGTGAGAACCATATTGTGAACGTCCTTTCACTAGGTGCGAAAAGCCCTCACTCGTTAACGGAGTGTCCCTACGTGTCCCCTACGGATGCAGAACAGTTTCATCTGATGTGGGAACAAGGCAGGGAGCCTGTACCGGGGCCACCGGCACCCCACGTACGTCAGGCACACAATGGCCTGAGCTCTGAAGGGGGCCCGCGCTGGTCCCTCGTCAGCTGTCACAGTACCGGGTGACAGGACTCGGGTACACCTTCCCAGTTTCCGAGTGTGCCAGGGACCCGCGCGTGGCCCGGGAAAGCTCGGGTGTGGCCGTGGCTGTGGCCATGGCGCGGCGAGGCGGCCCCACTGGTACCTCAGCGTCGATGTTGGGCGAGCTCTCCCGCGGGTCATAGTCGTACAGGGCCACCGCTCTGCGTGTGGGCACGGGGCGCGGCCTGCCACCTCTGCGGTTCCTCTCTGTTGACAGCACGGGGAAGGGGGAAGCCGCCGTGAGGTCACTGCAAAAGCGCGGGCCCCTCCCGGCCTCAATGGCGGCAGAGCCAGGGGCCACTTGGCCAGTGGGACTGAGACCACTGCCCCCTCCCCCCCCACCACCACCGGGTCTCGTGCTCGGGCACCCGCGACAACAAAGGCTTCTACCCTGGGGCCCGTCGCTGGGCTCCACACGCCACATCCCGCTTTAATCCAGAATAAGCGCGCACACCTCTGCGGTGCCCGCACGCGGCCTTGGCAGGAAGTGGTCGCCCCAGACGGGACCGCGGTGCTGTCCGCTTGTCAGTTTCACAGGGGGCGTTACAAGCGGGACTTCCTGAAGGTGGTGACGGGGACACGCAGGGACCACTGTATCCCTGGGTCAGCTGGCACGCCACGTAACCCGCACGACCAGCACGGTGCACACGAGTTCTGTGCCCCGGGTCCCTTCGCGCTCCCTCACGGCCCCCTCCAGCCCGGTCACCAGTGCTGCCCCCGCCCCAGCACCCGGGCCTTTTCCTGTGGGGCCACGCGGGAGGAAGCGGTGAGCGCGGGGCTTCTCCCCGGGGCGCTGCGTCTCAGACGCGACTCTGCAGACCCTGCTCTCGCCGGCGAGCGGCCCATCGTGTGGCTGCACCACGGTCGTCCCCACCACGGTCGTCCCCTGCGTTTACCGGTCGAAAGCACCGGGTTGTCCCTACTCAGCATGACTGCCGTGAGCACCCGTGGCGAGTGGGGGACAGCAGTGGTAAGTGGGAGTGGCAGAGTGGCAGGCGGGATCCGGGGCCCATGCTGCTGCCCACACGCGGGTGGCCAGCCTGTCGCTGCTGCCATCACTGCTGTGCCTCCTGTCCCCCCGAGCATCTTTCCCTGGGCCGCTTCACCGCCCTGGTGGCCTCTGCGGCCTCGGAGCACCTCCAGTCTGCCCAGCCTCCCCGGGGCCCTGGTTTACTGCTGAGCTGT